TAAGCCTCAAGAGAGTAAGATCAAGCGAGCCAAGAGAGTCACTGTAATCACGAGAGCATGAAAAATCATAAGGGTTTCACTCGCAGTAACGACTATGTTTAACAATCTCGCAAGCGAGAGTGTTGAACCTCATGAGTGTCTCTAGTAGTATTCAGGAATCTTCTCAAAAGAGCTTCCGGTTTGCAGATATCTGCACCAACTGTAACTCAGGATATGTGGCTTTGATGAATGCACTACAACGTTTCCACCTGGAAAACGGGCAAACATACTTCAACTGCACCTTCAAGCTGCATTGGCTGATGCACACTGCAGAGACTGCAAAGCATCTGCATCCAAGCGTCTACGCTTGCTTCCAAGACGAAGACTTCATGCAGCATGCCAAAATGTTAGCCCACTCCTGCACCCACGGCTCCTCCAGAATGCGCTGCATTCAGCAAAGTCTGCGCAAGCATCTTGACTGCACACATAGACAGGCACATGCTTCTGTCATAACTTAACCTTGCATATGGTACAATCGCGCTGCTCTGCTCAGGTATCGCCAAGCGATGCACTACGAGCTCACAACTCTTGGCCGCCAGAACCTGTAACGAGGAAGAAAAAAGACTTGTGCGATCCTGTCATCAAGCCAAATACATACATCCAAGCTTTTTCGCAAAGGTACCTTGCTCAGGGAAGCCTTGCCGAACACTCACAGACTATTCTCATAAATCTAACACATCTCCTCGACTCACGTCCTATGAGTTTCATCGAAACTATTCGTACAATACCTTGCGAAATCTAGGTAATTGTTTTAAACTATGTTTTTAACTATTGTTTTAACTATTTTTTTAACTATAACTATTTTTTTAACTTAACTATTTTCTCCTATTTTAGATATATAGTTAAACCGCTGTTTTAACTATATAGTTAAAAATACAAATTTTAACTTAACGGAGCCACTGGGTATTCGGTCAAGCAACTCTGCGGCTGGGATACTGAACTAAGAAAACAAGGTACCCGCAACAAAGTCACTACGATCCGGGGTCCAGGTAGTATCCGCATGAAACCAACCAATGTATACACTCACCGCAATTTTCTGGGAGTGCTACATACACTCACCCAAATCCCAAATACCGGGCCTTCATATACTGTCGTTCTACAAGGCGACATGAGGCCTCAACTCCATACTGCGACTCTGCAAAGTCTGCAAGCTTGACTAACCACTGCCTGCGTAAATTAATGTACCAAATATGGCATGGCCAGGCAACTGTATGTATGTACGTACATGTATAAGTATATAAGTATAAGTATATGTATATGTATATGTATATGTATATGTACATGTATCTGTATCTGTACATGTATCTGTACATGTACATGTACATGTATATGTATATGTATATGTATGTATATTTGAATAATATGTAAATATAGATACAAACAAACAGATACATATGTCTATATACTATATATATATCTTATTATATATATATACATACATACATACATAACGACATGGGTATATAAGGCTTCTTGGAGTATCAATGGAGCCGCCGTCCCAAGCGCCTCTTCCTCTCCTCGGGCCTACGATAAGGGCTCAAATTGAAGGATGAAGGACTTTGGAAGTGACATACAAAACCGAATCAGGCTCTGGGTTTTTGTTCGGGTAAAGGGCTTTGGGGTTTCGGGGCTCAGGATTTAGGGATGTAAGGTGGGGCGGTGGGCTTACGGGTTTAGGGTTTGGGATTCTTGGGCTCCAATTCCGGATCTTTGGAAACTTCTGCAAAAGGGCGAGGAGTGTGGAGGGAACCTGCTTCGGGCTAGTTCACGTATCTAGTTACCCTGAAGCGGCTTGCGAAAAGAAGCGCAGCTGAAACCTCACACACTGCTGCTTCGATGCTGGACCGTCCTAGCGTTGAGAAGATGCGTATCGCGCATGTGCTGCGAAATCTGCGATATGCCCGGTGAAGAGTCCATAAGGGTTATACTGTACGGGTTCCATAAGGGTTACGAAAAGGGCCGTTACTAAACGGGTTACTGCCAGGAGATCTATAAGGGTTCCGATCAGGAATGCTAAAATCGGTCCTTTAAGGATTCAGCACCGGTTACGATAGGGTTCCCCAAAGGCCCAAATTTGCTACTTAGCACGTAGAGTTGACAGCCTTACTTGTCCAGTCTCATAGGGGAACGAACAGGTTGAACAGTTCACCTTCAACTGGGAATATACTCTATACGGCTATACGGGTTGTACAATATGGCCTGTATCGGGCTTATCGTAGGATACCTACCCTACTACTAAGAACCTCTAACCCTAACCCCTAAACCCCTAAACCCCTAAAGCCCGGAACCCCCCCAACCCCTAAACCCCTAAAACCCCGAAAACCCCAAAAAACACCTAAAACCCCTAAAACCACTAAAAAACCCTAAAACCCCTAAACCCCTAAACCCCTGAACCCCTAAACCCTAAATCCCCTACAACCCTAACCCTAAAACCCCAAAACCCCCAAAACCCCCCTAAAACCCCCTAAAACCCCTAAAACCCCCTAAACCACCTAAACCCCTAAAAACCCCTAAAACCCACTAAACCCCTAAACCCTAAAAAAAAACCCAAACCCCTGAGACCCTAAGACACTTCCGAAGAGTCTCTCAGTGCCTGCGGGGCACCGGATGCCGGCGCTGGCCTTGGGGCGAAAAGCTGTGGAGGCTTTTGGCGGCCAAAGGGTTTTAGGTGTTTTTTTGTTTTTCTTTTTTATTGTTTCGGGTTTTGGGGTTTCGGGTTGAGAGTTTATGGCTTAGGGTTTTAGGGTTTTGGGGTTTAGGGTTGAGAGTTTATGTTTCAGGGTTTTAGGGTTTTTGGGTTTGGGGCCCGGACTTTCCAAAACCCTTCAGCTAAGGAATATGCCTCAACTCACATTAGGGATCCTATTGTAATTGAGGATATATTTCTTGATTAAGGAATATCGGAAGGCTTCAATCCAGAAACTGTTCAGTATAGCAAACAAGTTTCACCTGGTTTGTCACTGCAGCAGCTGCTTCTCCTGCAGAAAGCTTAGACCCTAATTCCTAAACCCTAAGCCCTAAACCCTAAACCCTAATCCCTAAACCCTAAACCCCAATCCCTAATCCCTAAACCGTAATCCCTAATCCCTAATCCCTAAACCGTGGACTTTAGCACTGGATCCCTCGAATCTCGACTTCCCGGGAGCAGGCCTTGGCGGATTGGCGACGGGCCGCTGCTTCTGACCAAGGGCGGGACATGGACTTGGTTTAGGCGCAGACCATCCAACATCCCTTCTTTAAGGAATATACGCCAAGCTATCGTAGGATCCCAGGTATAATTGAAGGTATATTCCAGGTCTGGGGGCAGGGAGGAACAGCTTTTGCCTGACAAAGCACAAAGCTATATGAGCCACTCACATGAGGCCCAGTGCTGTTCTACTCACGTGTCAACTTCGTGCTCCGGATCGCGCATGCTGGGACTGGGACCAATGGTTCTAAGCCGATTCTAAACCAGACAAGCAGGACCAACACAGGTGCCAGTTACGAGTTCGGTGAATAACACCTCTGCTTGGATCCCTAAACCCAGCTTTCATCTTGGCGAATGAAGCTCGGTGTTGGTCCTGCTGGGGAGCCCTGCCCTGGGTTTAGGGGTTTAGGGGTTTCATTAGGGGTTGAGGGTTTAGGGTTTAGAGGTTTCGGGTCTCACATTGCATGAACACTGAGACCCTGAACCCTAAACCCACAACCGCCCGTGCCGCCACAGTCGACGACACACAGGTGCAGAGCTGTCTAGCACCCGTGTCTCCATGGCTGGCTGTGCTCAGTCGGCAGCACTGGGTACAATAGCAGATCTCCCCTACATCCCAAATCCTACAGCAAATAATGAATGGGGTGCGACTCTTCTTCGACATGGGCCATATTGTGCAGGGTTCGGGGGTTTAGGGCTTTCAGGGTTTAGGGGTTTGGGTTTTCGGGCTTAGGTTTTCAGTTTGAGGTTTAATGTTCAGGGTTTATAGGGTTTCGGTTCAGCTTTTGGGCTTAGGGGTGAGGTGTTTGGGTGTTGCAGGGTTCAGGGTGTCAGGGGACGTTTGGCTTGAATGAGGTTTAGGGAAAGGGGGTGTGTAGCTTGCTATTTCAGAGAGCTGATGACACTTAATTCTGGCGACACGTCGGGAGGGGGTTTTGAGGATGTTGGTTTTGTGGTGTAGTGATCGCAGCAGTACTGGCAACAGAAGCAGCAGCAGTTGTAGTAGCAGCAGCACTTCTAAGAACAGAAATACTAACAGGCATGTACTCTCGCTCTACTTCCACTCCTCCTCCTCCTCCTCATGCTCCTCCTCCTGCTCGTGCCCGGCCCGATCCGCTGTACTCTACCCTTCCCTTCGCAACCCCATTGCGTTGATGTTGATTCTTACCTTCTTCAACCCTCTGTAGCTACTGTTGCTTCGAGGCATTGGGCGCTGGCTGACGGGAAAGGGGCTGCGATCTGGGAAGATTCGCATCGAGCTCTTTGAACCTTCCCAGCAAGCCGTTCACGCCTGGAGGGACTCAAAGCTCTGAAGAGAAGCTTTGGTTTGAAGGGCACTGTTTTATGGCGTGACCACCAGCCCAACAGCAAAAGATTGGTGCATTTAAACTCAGATGCTTGCCTGTGAGCCGTTGCCCAGCTATCGGCCAGCCACAGTCACTGCGAAAGCCCTAAACTAAACCCTACATCCACCTCCCTTGGCTGGTAGCTGTGCCAACGGCTTCTGCCAGACTTGCATCGCATAGCAAAACAGCTTGCACGTCCTTGTCCTGTTGCTCTTGGGCGAAAGCCTGTAGACCCTAGGAGAACGACTGTTCCC